TGGCTAGGACTTCCAGTACAATGTTGAATAGAAGTGGTGATAGTAGGCATCCTTGTCTGGTTCCTGTTCTCAGCCTCTTGAATAATGTTGGCTGTTGGTTTTGCATAGATGCCCATTATATGTTGAGGAATGTCCCTTCTATTCCTATTTTGCTGAGAGTTTTGATCAGGAATGGGTTTATCTGATTTTTTTTTTTTTCCTTCCAAGTTGCCATCATGTTAGTTCTGACTCATGGCTACCCGGTATGTGTCAAAGCAGAACTGTGCTCCATAGCGTTTTTAATGGCTGTTTTTTTGCAGAAGTTATCTCCAGGCCTTTTTTCTGAGGTATCTCTAGGTGGACTCAAACCACCAACCATTTGGTTAACAGCCTGTAACCATTTGTGCCATTCAGGGAAGTCTTTATCTGATTAGTGACTACATACTACTATTAACTCAAAACTAACTTACTGCCATTGAGTTGGATCCTACACATAGCAACACCTCCTTGGGGTTCTGAGGCCTTATCACTATGGAAGTAGATTGCCCAGTCTTCCTCCGAGGAGTGGCTGGTGGATTGGAACAGCCAGCCTTCTGGTTAGCAGTCAAATGCCTTAGCCACTATGCCACCAGAGCTCCTATAGTATTATTACTCTCTATTAAAAACAAAACACAAACTCACTGCCTTTGAGTTGATTCCAACTCATAACAACCCCCCATTGGGTTTCCAAGGCAGTAAATCTTTATGAAAGTAGATTGCCCCATCATCCTTCTGTGGAGTGGCTGATAGGTTTGAACTGCTGACCTTTTAGTTAGCAGCCAAATGCCTTATCCACTGCACCAGCAGAGCTCCTATAGGAAATATTGAACAGTCATCACTTCACCTCAGTCTTCACTTAATATCAGTTTACAGTTTCTAGTCACTTGTAATCCAGTTTATTTTGGTGCTTTCTTTGCTAGACTTACCAGTGCATCTAAGACTGCAGAGATGTTTGTTTTCAGTTTGCTTTTGAACCCATATTTTATAACATTTCTCTCAATTGGTAGCAGTTCTTGCTTGAATTCTACAGTAGGTCTAAAGATCTAATTTAAAGCCATAAAGTCCTGCACTGCCTTGTCCAGTTCATTTCTCTCTTTTCATTCGTGGTTGCCTCTGTGGCAGTTATTCTTCTCTCCATGAATAATCCACCCTACCCCATTCTTTACCTGTGCTGGGCCCCTACTTTCTCTAAACAGTATGGCTAACCTAAACTATTGCTTTTGCTTGTACAAATGTGACTTAGAAAAAGTATTGTTCAACCAGGGAGATGCCAAACCTGGTGCCATTGATTCTGACTCATGGCAATCCCATGTGTCGCAGAGTAGAACTGCTCCGTAGGATTTTCTTGGCTGTAGACTTTACAGAAACAGATTGCCAGGCCTTTCGGTGCAGCGTTGCTGGGTGGGCTTAGACTGCCAATCTTTAGGTTAGTATTTGTTGTCATCAAGTCAGTTCAGACTCATAGTGATCCCCATTGGGTTTCCAAGGCTGTAAATCTTTATGGAAGCAGACTGCCTCATCTTTCTTTCACGAAGCAGCTGGTGGTTTAGAACCACTGACTTTCTGGTTAGCAGCCAAATACCTTAACCACTACACTACCACTACCTTTTAAGTTAGTAGGTGAGTGCAAACCATTGACACCACCCTCAAACCGATCTATGCATTACTCTCCAATTCAATACGTTCAGTGTAGAGTTCTCTTGATTTTGAACCCAAGCCTCATTTCAAAATTTACTTAACCACTCTATCTGCCCCCTCAGTCTAATATTTGGAACTTTCACAGACTCACTAAAGGTTTTTTGAAATGTGTGTAGGTTTCTGCAGGACTGAAACAAGGCCAAATTACTCCAACAGAGCTCTGTCAAAAATGTCTCTCTCTGATCAAGAAGACCAAATTCCTAAATGCTTACATTACTGTAACAGAAGAGGTAGCCCTAAAGCAAGCTGAAGAATCAGAGAAGAGGTATGCAAAAGGTAAATTATTTTTAATTATACTTAATTATTATATCTTCAGAAAAAGTGTAATTGAATGTAGCAGTCTCCATTTAGCAAGTGAGGCTTTCAAACATAAACATACCTTTTTTAAAGAACTTGCCGTGGGGTGTAATACAAATGAGGCTAATAGATATATAATGTTTTATAATATCTAGCTGTAACAATTTCTTACCAAATTTGATTTCTTAAGACGTATTTTTGCCAAAATTAGTAGGTATTATAGCATATAAGGGAACTCTGGTGGCATAGTGCCTAAGCATTTGATGCCAACCAGAAGGCTGGCGATTCAAACCCACCAGCCACTCCTCGAAAGCAAGGTTGGGCAACCTACTTCCATAGCGATGCTGCCTTGGGAACCCTAGGAGGGGTCAATGAGTAGATTCGACTTGATGGCAGTGAGTTTGGCTATTTTGTTTGTTTTACAGCATGGAATATTTTTGTCTTTGTATCTCATATTATTATCTCATGTATCACTCTCGTGGCTTTTTAACATAGGTCAGTCACTTGGAGATTTAGATGGAATTCCTGTTGCAGTAAAAGACAACTTCAGCACATCTGGCATTGAGACAACATGTGCTTCAAACATGCTGAAAGGTAAAATACAACTGATTAGGAAAATATTTTTTAAAATAGGTGCTATTTGGTTGAAATTAAAAATAAAATACTAAAACACCAAGATAATCTCAGACTAACTATATCCTTCAAGGAAATACATGGGATAGAATATTATCTTTTTTACTATTTACTCTTTCAAAAAACACAAAATGAAGTTGGAGTAACCTCTCAGAGACAACCAAACACCTTAAGAGAGATAACCACTGGGCCTGCCGACTTGGGACCATAGTCTCAGGGGACACCAAGCTCAATTGGCACAGCATAGTATATAAAAATCTTGTTCTACAACCTATTTTGGTGAGTAGTGACTGGGGTCTTAAAAGCTTTTGAGCAGCCATCTAAGATGCAACTGTTAGTCTCCTCTCATCTAAAGTAAAGAAGAGTGAAGAAAATCAAAGGCATCTGGAAACAATTAGTCCAAGGATATGATGGACCCTGAGACCAGAAGAACTAGATGGTGCCTGACTACCAATGCCAATTACTCAGAAAAGGATCAGAACTGGAGATCCTGGATAGAGTGCGAGGAAGAATGTGGAACAAAATTCAAAAACACAAAAATGACCAGAATTATTGGTCAGATAGAGTCTGGTGGAACCCCCAAGATTATGGCCCCAAGTGACCCTTTGGGCCTAGAATTGGACTCACTCCCATGGATTGGTTCTCAGCCCAACAGTAGAAAGACCTATATGCAGAACACCTACCCCAAGGTGATGCACCCACCTACTCTAGGGATATGTACCCCTCAGAGTGATCTGCCATGGGGCACCAGATGGGGAGTATTAAAACCATACACATACACACAGAATTACTCCTCAGAGGCAGACCAGCTTAGTGAATGAATCCTACTAAGGAAGCTGGATACTCAATACCTGATCACCACAAATGTACCAAGTCACCTCTAACTTCAGCTCATTGATAACATAGGAATAAATCTGAAGTGGCTACCAGTATCCGTCTCTTGAGGTTGGTGTGGTGATGCAGTAGCATCCCTTGTCCAGTTATTTTTTTTATTTCCAGACTCCTCCTTGTCTTATAAGACTAAGTATAGTGGCATCTAGTTTTGTGCTTTAAGAAGCCTTGATGGTGCAAAGGTTAAGTACTCAGCTACTAACCAAAAGATGAGAGCTTTGAACCAACCAGAGGCTCTACAGGAGAAAAGAACTGGCAGTCTGCACCCACAAAGATTACAGCCTAGGAAACCCTATGGGGCAATTCTACTCTGCCCTTTGGGTCATTATGAGTCAGAAAATACTCAGCAGCACACAACAACAGTGGTTTTATTCTTTACACTTTAGTAAGTCAAAAGGAAGCATGTTTATCAAAACATTTGGATCCTGGGGAAAAACACAGTAAAAAAAAAGGTTATCCAGAGTGTTACACACTAAAAGTTATATTTGACTAGGAATGTGCCCCAGGTTCATTTGATAGGTAGACTCTTATTTATTGTTTTGGAATATACACTAGAGCTTTCCAATAGATTATTGTTGTTGTTGTTAGATGCCACTGAGTTATCTCCGACTCAGCGACCCTATGTACAACAGAATGAAACTGCCTGGTCCTATGCCAGCCTCACAATCCTTGGTATGCCTCAGCAATATATTTACCGTATCCAAGATATATATCTATCCATTAGATAGAGGAGATTTTAATTGACAATAAAAATCTATTTCTACCAGGAAATATGTAAAAATTGCTTTGTGATAATATAACATCATCTGGGAAGAAAAAGTCCAGTACAGTGAACAAAATAATAATGTGCTATTATTTTCAAATGAATTAGATACATCACTGACTGTGATGCAATACTTTATAGTTGTTGTTGTTGTTATGTGCTGTCGAGTCGGACCCAACTCATAGCAACCCCTCGTTGGGTTTCTGAGGCAGTATCACTGTGGAAGTAGATTGCCCCATCTTCCTTCTGAGGAGTGGTTGGTGGGTTTGAACTGCCAGCTTTCTGGTTAGTAGCGAAGTGCCTAAGGTATTTGACTGCTAACCAGAAGGCTGGTGGTTCAAAGCCACCAGCCACTCCTCAGAAGGAAGGTTGGACAATCTATTTCTGTAGTGATATAGCTCTGTAAACCAAGGAGGGGTCACTATGAGTTGGATCTGACTCAACAGCAGTGAGTTTGGTTTTGGTTTATTAAAGTCAGTGTTTTTACATTATAAATGTGGTGAATGTACTGACTATCATTTGGAAAAAATACAGCAACAGACGTATCTTTTGAAATACTCAAAAGAAAAGCCAGGGGGCACCACACTGAGTGGCAGGGAACTCAGATAAGGGGAGGGACACAGGCCCCACCCCCTAAAAAGCAGGAAGCAGGGTAAAGAAAAGCCAGGGGATGCCAGACAGAGCGGCAGGAAGGAGAGGTTTTGAACAGCTAAGGGAGACATATTTGTCTGTCAGTTTCTCATACTGTGGTGGTTTGTTTGTTGCTATGAGGCTTGAGGCTGTGCCACCAGTGTTTCAAATGTCAGCAGTGTTGCACATGGTACACAGGTTTCAACGCATCTTACAGACAGAAAAAGACTAGGAAGAAGGAAGAGGCTATCCACTTCTCAAAGACTGGCCAGGGAAAACCTTATGAATAGCAGAAAGACACAGTCTGATACATTACTGCACAACTTTAAGAATAGCCCGGAAACACAGTCCAATGCAGTGTAGGAGAACCTGCCTCTTAGGTTGAAAGACTGTCAAAATATGACTGGGAAAGAGCTGCATCATCAGAGTAGAACAAACCTTACTGATGTGGGTAAAGTAAAGCTTTCGAGACCTCTATTTGCTGATGTGGCAAGAGTCAAATAGAGGAGAAACAACTGCAAACATCCATTAATAATTGGACCATGGAATGTATGAAGTAGGAATCTAGGAAAATTGGAAATTATCAAAAATGAAATGGAATTCATAAAGATTGATATCTTAGGCATTAGTGAGCTGAAATGGACCAATTTTGGTCATTTTGAATCAGACAACCATATGATCTACTGTGCCAGGAATGACAATTTGAAGAGGAATGGCATGGCATTCATCATCACAAAGGATGTTTCAAGATCTGTCCTGAAGTACAATGCTGTCAGTGATAGGATAATATACATACACCTACAAGGAAGACCAGTTAATACTATTATTCAAATTTATGCACCAACCACCACAGCCAAAGATGAAGAAATTGAAGATTTAGTGCCTAAGGCACTTGACTGCTAACCAGAAGGCTGGTGGTTCAAACCCACCAGCCACTCCTTGGAAGGAAGATTGGGCAGTCTACTTCCATAGTGACACTGCCTGGGAAACCCAAGCAGGAGTCACTATGAATCAGATCCAACTCAATAGCCATGAGTGAGTGAGCAGTCTGAAATTGACTGAACGTGCAATCAAGATGTATTAATTATCATTGGTGACTGAAATGCAAAAGTTGGAAACAAGGAGGAATCACCAGTATTGGAAAATTTGGCCTTGGTGACAGAAACAACACTGGAGATTGCATGATAGAATTTTGCAAGACCAGCGATTTAGTCATTATAAATACCTTTTTCAACAACACAAATGGCAGCTATACACATGGACTTCACCAGACGGAGTACACAGAAGTACATCTGAGTACACATGACTACATCTGTAGCAGGAGGTGATGGAAAAGTTCAATATCTTTAGCCAAAACAAAGCCAGAAGTTGATTGTGGAATGGACCATCAACTGCTCACATGCAAGTTCAACTTGAAGACAATAAAAACAAGTCCACAAGAGCCAAAATATGACTTGAAACATATCCCTCCTGAATTTAGAGACCATCTAAAGAATAAATTTGATGCATTGAACACCATTGACCGAAAACCAGAAGAATTGTGGGATGACATTAAGAACATCATCCATGAAGAAAGCAAGAGGTCATTAAAAAGATAAGAAAGGAAGAAAAGACCAAAATGGATGTCAGAAATGACTCTGAAACTTGCCCTTTAGTAGGGAGTTGTTGTTGTTGTTGTTGTTATGTGCCGTCGAGTCGGCCCCGACTCATAGCGACCCCTCCTTGGGTTTCCGAGGCAGTATCACTACGGAAGTAGGATTGCCCAACCTTCCTTCTGAGGAGTGGCTGGTGGGTTTGAACCGCCAGCTGTCTGGTTAGCAGGCAAGTGTCTTAGCCACTATGCTACCAGAGCTCCCTTAGTAGAGAGTAGCTAAAGCAAATGGAAGAAATGTCAAGATAAAAGAGCTGAACAGAAGATTTCAAAGAGCAGCTTGAGTGGATGAACAAATTACTACAATAAAATGTGCAAAGACCTGGAGTTAGAAAACCAAAAGAAAAGAACAGGCTCAGCATTTCTCAAGCTGAAAGAACTGAAGAAAAAAATTTAAGCATCAAGTTGCAATATTGAAGGATTCTATGGGCAAAATATTGAATGATACAGGGAACATCAAAAGAAGATAGAAGGAATACACAGTCACTGTATCAAAAAGATCTGGTTGATGTCTATCCATCTTAGAAAGTGGCTTGTGGTCAAGAACCAATGGTATTGAAGGAAGAACTCAAAGCTGCACTGAAAGAATTGGCAAAGAACAAGGCTTCAGGAATTGATGGGATACCCATTGAGATGTTTCAACAAACGGATGCTCTCCTGGAGGCACTCACTCAGCTATGCCAAGAGATTTGGAAGACAGCTACCTGGCCAACTGATTGGAAGAGATCCATATTTGTACCCATTCCAAAGAAAGGTGATCCCACAGAATGTGGAAATTATCGAATAATATCATTAATATTGCATGCAAGTAAAATCTTGCTGAAGATAATTCAAAAACAGTTGCAGCAGTATATTGACAGAGAACTTCCAGAAATGCAAGCTGGTTTCAGGAGAGGATGTAAAATGGGGATATCATTGCTGATGTCAGATGGATCTTGGCTGAAAGCAAAGAATACTAAAAAAATGTTTACTTGTGTTTTATTGACTATGCAAAATCATTTGATTGTGTAGATCATAACAAAGTATGGGTAACGTTCGAAAGAATGGGAATCCCAAAACACTTGATTGTACTCGTGAGGAACCTGTACGTAGACCAAGAGGCTGTTGTTCAAACAGAGCAAGGGGACACTGCATGGTTTAAAATCAAGAAGAGATTATGTCAGGGTTGTATCCTTTCACCATACTTGTTCAATCTGTATGCTGAGCAAATAATACGAGAAGCTGGACTGTATGAAGAAGAACGTGGTATCTAGATTGGAGGAAGAATCATTAACAACCTGCGATATGCTGCCAACACAACTTTGTTTGCTGAAAGTGAGGATGAGTTGAGACATTTACTAATGAAGATTGATGTCTGCAGTATGGCTACATCTGAATGTAAAGAAAACAAAAATCCTCACAACTGGACCTATAAATAGCATCGCAATAAATGGAGAAAAGATTGACGTTGTCACAGACTTCACATTGCTTGGTTCTACAATTGACACCAGTGGGAGCAGCAGTCAGGTCGTCAGACAATGTATAGCACTGGGAAAATCGGCTGCAAAGGACCTCTTTCAAGTGCTGAAGAACAAAGATGTCTCCTTGAGGACTAAGGTGTGCCTGACCTAAGCCATGATATTTTCAATCACCTCACATGCATGTGAGAGCTGGACAATGAGTAAGGAAGACCAAACGAGTTGATGCTTTTGAGTTATGTTGGCGAAGAATGCTGAAAGTACCATGGACTGCTAAAAGAACTTAACAGATCTGTCCTGAAGGAAGTACAGCGGGAATGCTCCCTGGAAGCAAGAATGACCAGACTTTGTCTCACCTACTTTAGTCATGTTGTCAGAAGGAACCATTCCCTGGAGAAGGATGTCATGCTTGGTAAGCTGAAGAGTCAACGAAAGAAGGAAGGCCTGCAATGAGATGGATTGACATAGTGGCTGCTGCGATGGGCTCAAGTATAGCAAGGATCATGGAGCTGTCACAGGACTGGACAGTTTTTCGTTCTGCATAGGGTTGCTGAGTCAGAAACGACTGGACAGCACCTAACAACAACAACACCTTTTGAAAAAAACACAGTAGCTGACAATAGAGAAAAATTAACTCTTAGAAGAAAGTACAACCAACTACTCATATTAAGAAAAATTAATAAATGTGCATATGAATGAACTACTCAATCATAATTTAAAATCATACTTGTTCTCTGCATGTGATTTACATATTTACTGTCTTTTCTCTTATAATAAAAAGAACTGAACTTATTTTAGGTTATATACCACCTTATAATGCTACAGTCATTCAGAAGTTGTTGGATCAGGGAGCTCTACTTATGGGAAAAACAAACTTAGATGAGTTTGCTATGGGGTAAGTAAAACTGAAATTTGCTTCTTTTCTGTTTCTTCCTCCTGTGCTTTAATTGCATTAAATGTAGGTACCTAAAAACAGTAAAGGAGCTCTGGTGGCGTAGTGCCTAAGACATTTGACTGCTAACCAGAAGGCTGGTGGTTCAAACCCACCAGCCACTCCTCGGAAGGAAGATTGGACAATCTACTTCCATAGTGATACCACCTCAGAAACCCAAGGAGGGGTCACTATGAGTCGGATTCAACTCGACAGCAATGAGTTTGGCTTTTTGATTTTTAAAAGCAGTAAAGTGATTTCTTGAGGACTCTAATGCCAGTTTTTCAGTCCTTCTCTGAAACCATGTTTGGTTGTCTAATAGGCATACAGTCATATCTCATTTTGATTTCAGTTTGTATTTCCCTGGTGAGCTCACTCTACCTGCCCTTCCACCACCCTGCACTGCCTCCAAGATGGATGACACTGAAATGCACACTTTGCCTCAGTCCTTTATGTAGCCAACAGGTTTGTTCTGCTCCCGTCAGAACCCAAGATCAGTGTTCCAAGTTGGAAATGTAGTCAGCCACTTCAAGCAGGCTTTCCTGCAGGGTGGGAAAAGGGCATGTAACAGAAAGCCACAAAGCTTTCCTACCATTGCCTTTTTCTTAATTTCACATTTGCTTGGTTGCTGTGAACCTCTGATAGTTTACCAGAGTTCTGGCAAAGTTAGCTCTGACGGTTTCTTCTTATTTGTTGTTGTATGGAGCTTCTTACTCTGCCATATTGGTGATGTCACTCCAAAAGTGACACCTTAACAACTTGTGTCTTCTGATCCATTAACACCATACATTTCTCCATTTATTCAGACTTTATTTAATCTTTCTGAGTAGCTTTTTATAATTTGTTGCTTATAAATCTTGCATATAATTTGTTTGACTTATCCCTAATATTTCATGTTTTATTACTATGGGAGTATTTTTTCAATTTCTAATTGTTGCTAGTATATAGAAATAATGATTTTTCTCTTGACCTTATATCCTGCATCCTTGCTAAGTTCACTTATTAATTAATTTTAGTTGATCTTTGCAGATTCTTTGGAATATTTTATATAGATGATCATGTCCTTATACTTATTTGGTTGTTTTTGTTTTATTGCACTTGTTAGGACCTTCAGTACATGTTACAGATTAAATTTTGTGCCCCGAAAATATGTTTTAGAATCCTAACTCTTATACTTGTGAATATGTACCCATTTGGAAACAGGGTTTTCTTTTTTATGTTAATGAAGTCACATCAGTGTAGAGTATGCCTTAAACCTAATCATTTGTGAGCTATAATAAGAACAAATTAGAACAAATGAAGGGGGAGATAGATGCCACCCAGAGATCACCAAGGAACCAAGGACTGCCTGGGCTACAGAAATTAAAGAGAGCTTCCCCCAGGTGACAGAGGAGAGCCTACCTCTAGAGGAGATAAGGTCTTGAATTCAGACTCGTAGCCTTCTGAAACTGTGAGAAAATAAATTGATGTTTGTTAAGGCCACCCATTTGTGGTATTTCTGTCACAGCAGCACTAAGAAATGAAGATAGTGCATTTTGAATTGACATGATGGGAGGAGACATCCTTGCCCAAAATGGAAACAACATTGGTTGGGGAGTGATTTTTTTTTTTTTTTTTAAGGAAGCTGAAAAGATATGACAACTAAATACAATACTGGACTCTAGACTTGAAGACTTGAACATCCTATACTAGCTGGAGGAAATGTTATAAAGGACATTATTGGATCAACTGACAAAATTTGATTATGAAAAGATTAGATGAAAGTCTTGTATTAATATTAAATTTATTGAGATTGATTATCATACTGTAACTATGTAAGAGATAATCCTTATCCTTAGTCAAGGGCATACTAAATACATACTAGAGAATTAGGGGTAAAGAGCATGGTATATATAACTTACTCTTAAGAGGTTCGGGGTAAAAAAATGTGCTTGTGTGTGTGTGTATAACACAGACCTAGTATCTAGGTGTGTATAACACACACACACAGCACACAAATGATAAAGCAAATGGGGTCATTGTTAAAGAGTAAAACCAAACCAAACCAAACTCACTGCCATCAAGTCAATTCCAACTCATAGCATTCCTCTTTGGGTTTCCGAGGTGGCAAATCTTTACGGAAGTAGATTGCCCAGTGTTTCTTCCATGGAGTGGCTGGTGGGTTTGAACTGCCAACCTTCTAGTTAGTAGTCAAATGCCTTAGGCACTATAGCATCAGAGCTCCTTTGTTAAACAGTATACAGTGTTTTTCATAGTATCTTTATTTTTGCATCTTATCTATAATAATTGAAATTATTTCAAAATTTAAAAAGTTATTAACATTCTGTGTTAATAAGTTATTAACATATCTATGCTTTTCTTAAAACTTCTGATTAAGAGAAGGATTCCCTCCACTTCTTGTTGCCATATGAATGTTTACAGCACTTTTCATCAAGAAAATTTTAGTTTATGAGGGAAATTATCTATAGCTGAATTAGATGATCAGAATTGGGATAAAATCTTTCATTAGCAGACTGGTTGTTTACTTTCTACGTATCTCATCCGCCACCTCCTCCTTAGCCTTCTAATTAATGAAGCTACACTGAACAGGCTTCCAACCTTTTCCCATTGAAACTATGTAGAGTATTAAAAGCTCAATGAGTATCAGAAACAAGTAAGATACTCAGAAGATAAATTTAAAGTTTTGTTAAGTGTATCTCACTTCTTTATCTCAGATCTGGAAGTACAGATGGTGTATTTGGACCAGTTAAAAATCCTTGGAGTTATTCAAAGCAATATAGAGAAAAGAGGAAGCCGAAGCCCCATGGTGAGAATGACGATTCAGATTGGCTAGTAACTGGAGGAAGCTCAGGCGGTAGTGCTGCTGCAGTATCAGCGTTCACGTGCTTTGCGTAAGATGCCTTTCCTATTTGTATTTTAAAAACCAGTCAAATACAAATCGTCATTTGTAAAATCCAACCATAGAATACTTGTACTTAATGCCTTAATATTTTATTTCATTTAAGAAACTGTTGAGCTGTTTGAGCATAATGCGTATCAAAATTATATCTAATAGATCTACCTGATTATACAGTACACTGTGTATATTTTATATATTTAATTTAAAAGAGCATTTGAACTCTTCCTAGTATCTAGGTCTCTTAAAAAATATGATTTTATAGATATTACAGAATAAACTAAACCAAAACCAAACCCACCGCTGTTGAGTCAATTCTGACTCATAGCAACCACCCATAGGGTTTTCAAGGCTGTAAATCTTTACAGAAGCAGACTGCCTCATCTTTCTCTTGTGGAGCAGTTGGTGAGTTTGAACCACCGACCTTTTGACAAGCAGCCAAATGCACCACCAGAGCTCCTTCCAGAATAAACTACCTAGCATAATTGGACGTTATTGAATTTCTTTTTTATATAATTCAGTTACTATATATTGACCTGATTATACAAATATTTAAGGACTAACATATGCTGACTTTGATTTAGTGCTGCTGAGCTAAACTGTTAGTAATGATTTCCTCTTCAGATTAATCTGACTGTTGCAAAAAAAAAGACAGCAAGAAAAGAAAACATGTTTCTAATATGTATCAATAAAAGGAGCTCTGGTGGCTTAGTGGGTAAGACATTTTGGCTACTAACTAGAGAGTCAGCAGTTTAAACCCACCAGCTGCTCTGCAGGAGTAAGATAAGGGAGCCTGCTTCCATAAAGATCTACAGCCTTGGAAACCCAATGGGGATCGTTATGAGTCAGAATTGACTTGATGGCAGTGAGTTTATGTATCAATAGGATGTTTGAAACAGTGCTTTATAAACACATATTCAAAAATGTGTATCAGTGAATAAAGTTTCCTCAAGTTTCTTAGGAACTGATCTGTTCCTCTCTCATACTTTGTATTTTGAAAGAATCCATTGAGCATACTTTGCTTACTAACTAAATAAGAGTAAATAAATATGATTGTTATTATATTTAATTTATTGGTCTCAATTTAACCAAATTGAATGTTTCTTCAGTAATACTGTATGTATTTTGTCTCTGTAGTTCTTTCATAGGCGTTGAAATCAATAAATTATATTTTTTTAGATACTACAGCTTTTTGTGGTGTTTATTTTAAGTTTTCTTGAAATCTTGTTAATCTTGTTAACATGTTAAGACCATTGCATTTGCTTTCTGTGGACTTTGATAGCAATGCATTAATATTAATGAGAGTTCTGACAAGTTAGGACTGCAGGATTAGCTACTTTTTTCTCTCCTCATCACCCCATTTACTGTTGATCTTTCTGAACATACTTTGAGAAGATGGCATTTTGACACGTAATTCCTCTGGAAATGAAGGTTTTACTTTATTACACAGTTGTCAGTGAATCCTAATAATAAAATGTATCCTTTTAGAAACTGGGAAAGCAACAGTCCGCTTTTGTATCTTAAATTGGCTTGGTAGGCAAGGAAATACAATTTGCATTTTCTGTACAGCACAACTGTCATGTTATTGTTAGGAGCCTTGTTAAATTCAGTTTAAATACGATCAATAGAAGCACACACCAAAAGTAGCTACAGATTAAATATGTCCTAAACTGTAAAGTATCCTTTTGTTTTCTCTCTTTTTCATTTCTTTCTATGTGTTAAAACCAGAAAGCTTCTTGGAATACTGTGCAGCCACTAGAAAAGAATGAGATAGAGTGCTTTGTTGTTGTTGGGTGCCGTTGAGTCAGACCCAACTCATAGCGACCCCTCCTTGAGTTTCTGAGGCAGTATCACTACGGAAGTAGATTGCCCAACCTTCCATCTGAGGAGTGGCTGATGGGTTTGAACCGCCAGCCTTCTGGTTAGCAGTCAGGTGCCTTAGGCACTATGCTACCACAGCTCCTAGAGTACTATGTAGTGATAGGGAAAGATAACCAACATTCATTGTTCAGTGAAAAACAAGTTGCAGAACAGTATGTATCATATGACTATATTTTTTAAAAGTAATATATGTTAATAGTTACACTGAAGCATCTGCATGAATATATCAAAATTAATAACAGAGTTGTGGGGGCGCTGATTATAAGAGGAGTCCCTGGGTGGAACAAACAGCTAAGATGCTCAGCTGCCAGCTGAAAGGTTGGAGGTTCAATTCCACCCAGAGGGGTGCTTTGGAAGAAAGGCTTGCCAATCTTGTCTGAAAAGTCAGCATTGAAAGCCCTGTGGAGGTGCTCTCTTTGCCAGCACATCTACTAAAACTGTAACAGTGCAGAGAAGATTAGCACAGCCCCTGTGCAAGGATGACATGCAAATTTGTGAAGTGTCCACATTCAGAAATAAAACCCTTTCGATGGCAAATAACAGCAACAACAACAATGGAGTGTAGCTCTTCTCTGACATGCATGAGGTCACCATGAGTTGGAATTGACTCAGTGGCAACTGGCCAACTGGTGATTATAAGAGACATTTTGTTTTATGTATCATACATAACATTTTAGTTTTGGCAAAAGCATATGCTACTTTTCTAATCAGGAAAACCAGTTTATTTTCTAAGATAGCTTTTTTTAAGTAAGAGAATTATGTACTTTAGGGAAGATTGGACAAGGAAATAGACATCTCATGGATGGGTGCTATTAATTCAAATAAGCGAAAAATTGTTCAAAGAAATGCTCATTAACAAAGCTTTTTTGGGAAATTAACAAATTTCAAAAGCTGATAATACTCAGAGTAAACATCTGATTTATTGTGCTTGGGAATATAAATCGCCATAATCTTTCTGTAATGGCTATATATATATATATATATATATATATATAAAACAAAGTAATTTGACAGTGTAGATCAAGAACATGTAATAACTGGCAGGCCCTTTAGCCCAGTAACTCTACTTCTTAGAAGCTAGTCTACAGAATAATTAGACATAAGGACAAAATTTTATGTTTAAAGGTGTTTCTTACCAGATTATTTATTATAGAGTTACTAGTTGTAAGCAACATAAATGTTGAAGTACATTATAGTACATCTTAATCTGTGATTCTAAATAGGGTAGCAGAATGTAGTATCTTCTGCCCTGGGTGGGGTGTGTTTAATTTATACCACCACCACCACCACCACCACTTGCCTTGAAGTTGACTCCGAGTCATGGTGACCCCATGTATAAAATTGCCATTAATTTGGTTTATTTAAGCCAGGTAATCAAAAGAAAATATGTGATTTTTATGCATATCCATAGGAGAATAGACTTTAAAATATTTGGAATTACCAATATATATGATGGAATATTATACACACTTTAAATTTTCAGTGAACTTAAAAAAAAAAAAAAAAGTGAAGGGATCATGATAAACAAAATAGAAATGGAAACTTACGATTACAGAATGACCTCGACCATGAAAGAATAATGCATTAAAGAAAGACATGAAGTTAGTGTGCCAAAATGTGCACAGTGTTAGCCTTTGGGAAGTAGAATATTTTACCACCTCCTTACACTTTTCTGTATTTTATGAATCTCTGTGATGAGCATGTGTTACTTTTGTATGATCAGAGAAAGACACAGTTTACAAATACACATTTGAAAAGATAGACTCCAAATATAATTACTAAATGTCATTCTTCTAAAGGGAATTCCATTTAAATTCCAGGGCTTTAGGATCTGATACAGGAGGATCAACCAGAAATCCAGCTGCCCACTGTGGGCTTGTCGGTTTAAAACCAAGCTATGGATTGGTCTCCCGCCATGGTCTCATTCCCCTGGTGAACTCAATGGATGTGCCAGGAATCTTAACCAGATGTGTGGATGATGCAGCGATGGTGTTGGGTATTTATATGATTCCATATAGCTTCAAAGCATTCCCACTTCACTGTAAAACAGTATGTCTGTTGCTGATAAGTGTTTCTCCTTACAGGTATACTAGCTGGACATGATCCCAAAGATTCTACCACCATTCAAGACCCTGTTAAACCATTTTTGCTTCCTAGTTGGACAGATGTGAGCAAGCTATGTATAGGAATTCCAAAGGTAACTCCTTCCATTCCTTACTTTATAGAAATACTGGCAAGTCAGATACAAAGCACAGACTTAGGAGACAGACTGATTGGGTTTGAATCTCAGCTCTGCCACTTTCAGCTATATGACTTTAAACACATGACTTAATCTCCCTAAGCTCAATTTCTCCATCTGTAAAATGGGGACAGTTAACAGGATTGCTCTCACAGAGCTAAATTAGATAGTGATATAAAACAGAGGTCTTCAAACTTATTTTACAAAGGGCCAGATAATAAATATTTTAGGCTTTATGGACCTTATTGTCTTTATTGTATATAAACTTTCCACGGTAGTATGAAAGAAGCTCTGATGGTGTAGTTGGTAAGGCATTTAGTTGCTAACCAGAAGGCCAGTGGTTTAAACCTACCAGCTGCTCTGCAGGAGGAAGGTGAGGCAAGGTACTTCCGTAAAGATTTCTAGCCTTAGAAACCCGGTGGGGGTCACTATCGACTCAATAGCAGTGGGTTTGGGGTAGTATGAAAGCAGCCATAGATAATATTTAAATGAAGAGCCTGCTTGTGTTTTAATGAAACTTTATTTTGAAAAATAGGCAGTGGGTCACATCTGGCCTATAGGCCATAGTTTGGCATGTCCTGATATGAAAGACGGAACCTAAGCCTTTATTTACATAGCAAGTGTTCAGTAAATGATATCATCCTTACTGCTACTGCTGTACCTATCATGGTGTCCCTGAGTGGCGCAGATGGTTAACATGCCCAGCTGTGAACCAGAAGCTTGGCAGTTTGAGTCCACTCAGAGGTGCCCTGGGAGAAAGGCTTGGAGATCTCCTTCTGAGAAATCCACCATTGAAAACCCTGTGGAGCACAACTTAACACTGACACACCTGGGTCACCAGAAGTTGGGATCAACTCAATGGTAACTGGTACTAGTGGTATACCCATTACAGAAGCAATTGAGTTATTTGTACATGAACATAAATATGTTACATTTCTGAGTTTTTTTAAAAATTTAAATGTTAAGTCCAGCAGTATATGAATGCTTTCAACTTTTTAGAAAGATGCTTACATAAGTTACCCTGTAGAATAATAGGGTTTCTCAACCTTGGCACAATTGCCATTTTGGGCGAAATATCCCAGGATGTTTAGCAAGATCCCTGGCCTCTATCAATTTAAGAGACCAGTAGCAACACCCACCCACCCACAACATTAATGTCTCCACATATTGCCAAATGTCCCCTGGCTGGAGGGAGTGGAACAAAATCATCCCCAATTAAGACAGCTGCTGTAGAGAAATGCCAATATCTTCCATGAAGGTAATATTTTGCCTCTCTTCAAGGATTCTTCAAGGATTCACAGAGGGTATCGGCTTTAGAAACAGACATAGTTGAGAATCCTAGATCCTCTACTTACTTGTTATATAGCTTGAGAAAAGTTACTTAACTTCTCTAGTCTCAGTATTTTTCATTTATAAAATGAGGGCTGATAATACCTACATTATACATTTGTTGTAAGGATTAAATGAGAAGAACCTTTGAAAAGAATCTAGCAGAGTACTATGTTTTTATACAATAACATGCTTCTTCTATGTTTGCCAACTGCTAGTTTTTTGGTTTTTTTTTTTTACAGCAATGGGTGAAAAAAATTAGTATAGTGGTACGTATGAAAATGCAATTAGCAGGCAAACGTGGAAGGTGTGTGTTATTTGCATTAAAATATGGTACTTTATACATAATAAACATTTGACAAATATGAGTTCCACAACCAGATCTCTAATTGTTAACATTGTTATATTTAGCTCATAATATCTAGTACTGTGTTTGTCAAACTAAACCATCTTAAATGTTAATTATATTTACATGAGTATTATTTTGGCATAAAATGTGACCTTTTAGTCAAACTTAAGGTCCCTAATATATGGTATAAATAGACTACCAAGCATAATTCAAAATGCACCAACAGCAGAAGAGAAGCCAGATGATTGGGACCTTCTAAAAATTAAATTTTTATG